GTTGTTGCTGATGAGGCCAATCACGCTGTATCGTCCGCAAACTTGATGATGTGTGTTGGATCCATGTACAGGTCTGCAGTCGTGGGTGAAGAGGGAGTAGAGGAATGGGCTCAGCACACAGGCCCTGTGGTACGCCTGTGTTGAGTGTGATGGTGGTGGAGCAGGTGTGTCCTGACCTAACATACTGGGGTCTGTGGTCAGAAAGTCCATTATCCAGTGACGGAGGGAGGAGTTGAAGCCAGGTCTCCGAGTTTAGTGTTCAACTTGGAGGGGATGACAGAGTTGAATGCTGAGCTAAAATCAACAAACAGCAATTCGTGCGTATGTGTTGTTATTGTCCAGATGAGTGAGCACAGAGTGCAGCGCAGTGGAGACTGCATCCTCTGTACTCCTATTGCTGCGGTAGGCAAACTGGAATGGGTCCAGTGTGGGTGGGAGCAGTTTTCAGGTGTGCTAGGACCAGTCGCTCAAAGCACTTCATTATGATGGGTGTGAGTGCTACAGGGTGGTAGTCATTCAGGCCTGTCAGGCTGGAGTGTTTCGGCACTGGGACAATGGAGGTGGCTTTGAAGCATGCTGGCACAGCTGCTTGGGCGAGGGACAGGTTGAAGATGTCCGCAAAAACCCCAGTGAGCTGCTCTGCACATGCCCTAAGCACGCGCCCGGGGGTGCCGTCTGGACCCGCAGCCTTTCGAGCGTTGATTCCGGCTCAGTGCAGCGTGGACGTCTGTGGAGGTGAGTGAGAGGGCTGGTTGTCTGCAGGAGGTCTGGTCGTGGTCTGTGTCTCTCTGTTGTCTCTATCGAAACGAGCATAAAAGTGATTTAGCTCGTTCAGGAAGGAGACATCTGGGTTATCGGGGTGGAGTTTCTGGGTTTATAGTCACTGATGGCCTGGATGCCCTGCCACATGCGTCTGGGGTCGGAGTTGGAGAAGTGTTCCTCTACCTTCAGCTTGTAGCAGTGCTTGGCCTTGATGATGCCCCTCCTCAGGTTTGCCCTGGATACGCTGTAGGCCATTGCATCATCTGATCTGAAGGCGGTGTTGCGGGCCTTCAGCAGGAGACGCACCTCCTTGTTCATCCATGGCTTCTGATTTGGGTACGTGGTGATCTGCTTCCATGTTGTAACACTGTCGATGGTGGTATTGATATAATCCAACACAGAAGAAGTGTAGGTGTCAATGTCTGTGTGAGAGCCCAAGGTAGCCTGCGAAGCAAACATACTCCAGTCTGTGTGATGGAACTTGTCCTGAAGTACAGAGTCTGTCCCCGCAGACTGAAATAAAAATGAAATAAACCTGCATCCAGGTAATGTTCAAAATTGTTTTGAATTACACGTTTTAAATATTTGTTGTAATATATTTTTTTTATTTTATATTTTTCATAATAACATTTGGAAATATAAAAACAATGTGTGATTATATTTTGTCATTTTTGACGTTTTAAATATTTTTTTAAAAATTATTTTTTTATAATAACATTTTGGAAATATGAAAACAATGTGTGGTTATATTTGGTCATTTTTGACGTTTTAAATATTTTTTTAAATATTTTTTCTTATTTTATATTTTTTATAATAACATTTTGGAAATATAAAACAATGTTATTTTATTTTGTCATTTTTGAAGTTTTAAAATATTTTTTTATATTTTTTTATAATAACATTTTGGAAATAAAAACAATGTGTGGATTATATTTTGACATTTTTGACGTTTTAAATATTTTTTTAAATATTTTTTATTTTATATTTTTTACAATAACATTTTGGAAATATAAAAACATGTGTGATTATTTTGTCATTTTTACGTTTTAAATATATTTTTTATATATATTTTTATTTTTTATAATAACATTTTGGAAATATAAAAACATGTGTGATTTTATTTTGTCATTTTTGAGTTTTAAAATATTTCTTTATAGATTTTTTTATAATAACATTTTGGAAATATAAAAACAATGTGATTATATTTGTCATTTTTGAAGTTTTAATTATTTTTTTTAATATATTTTTTATTTTTTATAATAACATTTTGGAAATATAAAAACAATGTGTCATTTTATTTTGTCATCAAATCTTTCTGAATAATACTAGAAACATGTTTACAATATAAGAAATATACAAATAAAAAATATCAAGTGACGTGAAGTTACACTGAGAGATTACAACCAGGATTACGGTAAAAGGGGGCGGGGCTGAACTTTAACCAGGAAGTGTACAGCACCGCTCCGTGTTGTTTACACATGGTTGAACGTTCACGTGGAAAAAAAAAAAGATATTGTTCTGTATGAAAAAAAATGTCTTCAAAGAAAAATAAAAGCAAGACGAAGAAGGGAAGTGAAGGAGACAGCTCGCTCGTAGTGAAGGAGGGATCTGAAGGCTCCTCAAACCTGCAAACATCCGGTCACGAAGGAGGAGGAAGCTGCAGAAGTTTTAACAACAACTCATTCACTGTCACGGATTTCATTGATAAAGGTAAACAGAATAAACACGGGCGTTTAACAGGTACTGTCACTTCTATCAGGAACCAATCAGGAGACACTTTACTACAGTGTGGTCCATGCTGCATGCAGACAGTGATGCTGATCTAATGCACCACCTCTCCCTCTGCAAGAAAACATAGAGACATATTTTCATAAACATGGATGTACTCACGACTGTCCAGTTGAGATCCAACACAAACAAACAAACAAACAAACAAACAAACAAGCTACGAGTTTATTGAAGTCCTGATGAAAATGCTTGTTTTTGTTTCTTTACTTCAGCACAGGAAGAAGATGCTTTAAAGTTCCAACACAAAGATGAAGTTTTGTTACATTAACTAAACTCTTAAAGCCTCAAATGAGCCGAAGCTGCTTTTTTAAATATGATTTGGTCTGCTATACCATAAACTGGAAGCAAATCTGGCAATCATCAGTTTAAATAAATTAAAAAAATCTATAATGTGGTATTTTGTACATTCTTAATTTTCTTTTTTTATTTAAATTGTACTGTGGTCACTTTTTGTTTGCAATCTTTGCTCTTTGCTGCTTTAACAATGTCAATTTCCCCGTTGTGGGATAAATAAAGGCTTATCTTATCTTATTTTATCTCTCGTCCCCATTTTCAATACTTTGATACTTTTCAATATCATGTTTTTTTTTTAAATACATGCAGCGTCTGTCATTATAATGTTTGATAGTACTGAAAAGTATAAAAGCCTTGAAAGAGAAGTGCATCTATTTCATGAGACAGTTGTGAATGATTATTCTGAATCCATTATTTTTAAATGAAGTCACAATGTGGAGCTTGTTTTTTGTTTTTTTATTCGACATCCTGATTTAACTTCATATTTTGTTTGTTTTTCCTCCCAGCTGATGACAAAACGCCGAGATGTTGCAGATCGACTTTAGCCCAGCTGAGCCTCAACTCAATGAAGTCGGCGAGCGTCTGCATCGGGAGACCGGTCCTGCTGACGAGTCCAACGGGAAAACAAGAGGTCTCCTCCTCCCTTCCTTCCTTTCTTGTTTTCTCGTTTGTTGTCTTGTTACTTTAAAACGACTTTTAAATGAATTGCAGCTCAGGTAACTTCTTCCATACTTCCATACTAATCACTTACCGTTGCCTCTCAGGTGTGTTTGGGATGGCCAGTTGCAGCTTTTCCTGCGGGGAAAGTTGGTCTTCAGAAATGTGCTCAGAGTAACCTCAAGGTGAAGTCAGGGGACGAGGTGACGCTGCACCCACTGACAGGTGCTGTTCTTCAAGCAGAGGAGGTGACGCTCTCCTGCAGGTAACGTTTATCAGATTTAAAAACCCTGCAAGAAATCCTCTCTTAAGAGTTTGAAGAATGTATTTCAACTTATTCTGAAGGCTGTAGTTTGTGATGCTGTGGAAGTGATTTGTGTTTATAATGAGGTTGTCAACATTTTTAATACTTTGATGTTTGTTCAGTCCTACGTGTTTTAAGATGCTACAATCTCTGTTATTTAGTTGTATCCAAAAGTAAAGGTAAAAAAACTCCAACCTTTTCATATGACAGGTTGCTTAGGAGAGGAATGAATTCAAGATGAATTGCAAGCGAACTCCTGCTCACTTTTCTAAATTGCACAAATACGGCGCCAAAGTATTTGTGAAATTTAGTTTAGTTTAGTTTAGTTTATTTGCACATTTTTTAAAGAAGAGTCAAAACAAAATAAAAAATAAAACTCATGTGCAGGTGAGGTAGAAACCCATGAGGGCTTATCTCAAAGCCTCACCTAAGAGATTAAACAAAGTTAAAATAAAATACAGTAAAAATAACAAAGTAAGAATATTTACTATCACAAATAAAAGTTACCCAATTTGAAAATGACATACAAACATTGAAAACATAAAAATAGAGCAAAACAGGACATACAGTATGAAGACAATATAACAAAATCAGGACAATTCACTTTTCACTGCAAATCTTTCTGACATCAACGCATTTCTGAGTCTCAATTTGTATCTAGAAAAAGACAAAAACAAAACAAGTACAGACATTATTTTAATTTTACTCAAATTTAAGATTTCAAACTCTCATCCTGACAAACCTTATTTTTAATGAATATCCATCCCTTTTTATCAATTAGTAAAAGGCTCAATATGTATACATCACATATAATCCCCCTCTTTGGATACTTCTTGTCCTCAAACCTCTTAATTTGTCTCACATGTAAACACTGCCATCTTCTGGCTACATAGGAGTACTACAGTTTAAAGTATTTTCCAGTTTCCAACTTTTCTAAATGATTTATTCTTTTACATTTGGTGTTATAATTTCTCTCCTGATGCCTTTTAATTCATCTTACTTAAACTATTGGGTACAACTTCATGTTTATTGATAGTTGATCATTCATTTCATACTCATTCTAGGCCTTTGCTTTATATTGTATAACTTATATTTATGCAGTGTGTTTGTTATTTCTAGTCTGTGTATGAGATGCTACAACATGACAACACGTGTGCAGCTGATTCTTACTACCTCAACGTTTCCTTCAGGTCCAAAGACGACACGTTAGAGACGGAGGAGTTCAAAAACTTCTTCCTAAGGACTCTGGGTAAGCCCGCCTTTTCTTCACATATTTATTGACTCTGAAAGAAATGTTACACTTTCTTGGTCTGGGAATTTAACCAAAAATATTATGTACGAGCAAACTGCTGACGATGAAGGTTTCTTAAGAATGAATCAGAAGAAAACACAAAGCAAAGTGAGGCGTGCAGCTTTTTAAACACTTTTGTAATTTATTGTATTCAGAGGTATTTGTCTGTCTTCTCGCTTAACAAAGATAAAGAAAAGTTTAATTTATTGACAAAATCACACCTATTTTTTTTTTTTTTTTTGTTTTTACTTAGTTGCCACAGTTTGAAGATAACAGGCGATTAACAGTATACCGTATTTAAAAAGCCTGACATCATTCTTTCATCCACTTTTAATGTATTCTAACAGCAGTGTAAGTGATATAAAACTGTATAGATCCAGACGTGAGCAGGTTTTATTTTGCTGCTTTGTATTATACCCACCCAATCATTAAAAATGCTGCGTGGCCTGCCCTGAACTCATCATTAACAGTTAGATCTTATTATGGCTCCCCCTAGTGGTCAAGGCATGTAAAACAGAAAAAACAGGTAGACCCTCCTCTGTATAACTTTTAACTGTTCATTTTGTACTATAAGGGTATGATAAGGTTACCCTGTTCTTCATATTTATTATGTAAAATAATTACAGGACAATCTGTTTGAATGTCACACACGTGATAAGAGCTGCTTTAGCCCACACACACTGGATTGTTCCTCATGTTACAAAGTGTATCACCCAGAGGTTGGGCTTCTTTTGACAAACATGTTGATGTTGTTTAAACGGCCCTATACAGAGGGCGAACACTTTCTTATCAGCTGTACAATACTGACTACAAATACATCCATTCAAGGAAGTATTCTTTAAAATCATTCATTTTTTCCTGTTTAACTTTTTATTTGCCTGAACAAAATAGATAAATTATTTTTGTCTCTTCAACTCAACTTTATTGACGCGGACAAAAGCCAAAGTTTTCGAGGCGCCGATGGCCTAGTGGTTGTGACGTGCGCACCATGTTTGAGGGCTAAAGTCCTCACCACAGAGACCGCAGGTTTGAATCTGCCCTCGGCCCTTTGCTGCACTTCATCCCTCTCTCTCTCTCTCTCTCCTCCAAACATTTCCTGTCTCTCTTCAACTGTCATATCTAATAAAGGCAAAACTCGACAAAAACAGTAATGTCCAGAATATGTTCAATAATTTAATATTTTATCTGAAATGTGAAAAACTTTATATTCTCATTTAGTCTCCCGTACCTGAGCTTTCAGCCAATTTGGCACCAAACAAACCTGTGGACTTGTTTTAATGTGCTCTTTGTTGTTTTGTAAACAGTTGTTTTACTATCACATTTTTTTAAATCACTCATTTTGTGTGTTTGTCTGTGTCAGTTGGGAAAATCATCTTGCCAGGAAATGTGATCTCCCTGACGTACTTCGGCCGCTCATGCAGTCTCCGGGTGGAGGCCGTTAGAGGGGAAGACGGCGCCACCCTCCACAGACCGGCTCCTCCCCCAGGACCGGGCCCTGACACCGAGGAGTCGTCTGTGATGAACTCTGTGCTGGACTCGTCGTCAGCCGACCTCTCCCTGCAGCTCAGCTTGCTCACTGTGGACGACGACAACACTGAAGGGACAGCGAGCACGCCTGGAGAGCCTGGACCTGCAGCCAGCACCCCGCGTAGACCAGCACAACTCCCCTGTCTCTCCTCGCCCCCTGCTCTCTGTACCCCGTCGTCCTACATCTCCCAGAATCCTCCTTCAGGGGAGAGTGTCAATCTGGAGAACTCAGTCAGCTCAGAGAAAATCCCCACAGCTCCCCCTGGTGGTGCCTTGAAAACTGACACCTTCTACTGCCTCTCCTGCTCCACTAAAGTCAGTTTGAGAGACCGAGCGGGGAAGGAGGAGGAGCCAGACGCAGAAGCTAAAAGATCAAAAGTCACATACAGCATGATTGGCGGGCTCAGCAGCCAGTTGGATGTCATCAGAGAGACCATCGAGCTTCCTCTGAAACACCCAGAGCTGTTCTCCAACTATGGTGGGTCAACGTCATTCACAGTCTGAATCAGAATCAGAAATACTTAATTCTTTTTAATTAACAATATTTAGTGAGCAAAGGAAGTCTTTTTAGTATTCCATGACTTTGGACTTTTGGAGGATTTGTTTTGCAAATTTAAATAATTTTGTCTTCCTCAAAAAACTAGAAAAACTAATGAAAAAATGTAATCATGAGTTTGCTGCCCTTTCTGCAAAAAAAATAAATTCTCCAGCAACTCCAAGCAACTCAAGTTTTTATTTATCTTTAATTTATCTTCTGATATTTATTTCATCACTTAAGAAGCTGAGATTGACGGTTTTCTTCACTAGACTTCAATAAAAAAACAAATATATATATATCTGTCCATGCCAAAACTAAGGATGTATGTACAGATCAAAAATAATTTTATGCCCGAGTTATTTGTAACGTGTCGTTTATCTAGAAGCCAAAGATCCTCGGTCGCACAGTTGAGATCTGTTATTCTCCCTCAGGCCGTTGAAGTCGATCGATTCAAAAATATTCCAGTAGAAAACAGACTTTGTGAGATGTGTGAGTTGGACGAAGTTGAAACGTAGTCCCATTTTCTTTTGCGTTGTTTAAAATCTGATGATTTAAGAGAATTATTGTTTCATGAAGTAAAATAGAATAGAAATATTGGGGCGGACAGATGTGCAGAAACTGGAATGGCTGTTTAAGTTTGATGTGTTTAAACTTGATCATTTTGTTTCAAAAGCTTGGAAAAGAAGACAGGATATTCTGTTTGATTAGTTTGACTTCTTGCTTTCTCTTTTTGTTTCTTGAGAATGAGTATAGCTTACCTAGTGCACTCTGATCCGGGAACGTTTTTCATTGATGGTGTCATGTAAGCCCACGCGGGGTGGGCATATGGAGCATGTATGACACAATAATAAAATAAAAAACTAAAAACTATATAAAACTGGGTACCAACCCCTTTGTCTGCAGGGATTCCACCTCCCAGAGGAGTCCTTCTGTACGGTCCTCCAGGCACAGGAAAGACTTTGATTGGCCGAGCCATAGCCAACGAGGTGGGAGCTCACATGACGGTGATCAACGGCCCTGAGATCATGAGCAAGTAAGAAGACATTTACATCACTTTTCTGCTCTAGTACCATGATGCAGGGTTGGGATTATATTCTTTATAGACTTCAGTATCATAACAAACATCAATTGATTTGATTTTTCAAGAGATTCTGTATGTTGTTTTTATATCTTTACAGATTCTACGGTGAAACAGAAGCGAGGCTGAGGCAGATCTTTATGGAAGCATCTCAGAGGTAAACTCAGCTGGAACCTTCTCAGTCTAAAAATCATTTAATCTTTTATTTATTTGATGCTTAAAGGCTTTATATGCGCCCCAGCAGATGTCGCCCTTGAGCACCAGCATGAAACCAAAACAACTCGCGCTGCATTGTTGTGTTAGCATGCTAATGCTAGCGATCTTTATTATGCTCGTATCTTCACACTGCATGTAAATTTACCTGAAATGAGCGTGATCTAGAAACACAGTTAAGCAGTGAGTACAGTATGTTATTCTTCTTTTCTCTAGTCCCTCAATTAAACAACTTTTATACACGAGGGGAGGAGTCAGCCGGCCGTCCCGGCGATGTAAACAAAGTGAAGATAGGACTCTGAAAACTCTGAAAGCATCACAGACAGTGGGACTCGGGTGTTACACCCATTGTAGACAGTCATGACTCACAGAGTTATTTTCAGAGGATATACTTGATTTCTACATTTAAATGTGAAAAATCACATATAAAGACTTTAAGTGGTTAAACTTGTATGAGTCATCTTGGCGGTAAGAAAACACTCGATATATAAACATGAAGCCATCATGCTTGTAGTACAAACCTTTCAGTATCCAAATAATAATCCAAAAGTAAAAAACAATACGCGTACACTCTGCACATTTAAACACTGATGACATTTTATTCATAACTAAACATTCTGCGCCCGTCATTAAAACAGCAGCGAGGTTTCCCAGTGTGTAACCACTCACTGACACTTTCACCCGTTTCTCAGACGGCCTGCGATCATCTTTATCGACGAGCTCGACGCTTTGTGTCCAAAGAGAGAGGGAGCGCAGAACGAGGTGGAAAAACGAGTCGTGGCTTCTCTGCTGACTCTGATGGACGGGATCGGTTCAGTAAGTTCTCTCCTTGTTATATGTTCTCAACAGGTGGATAAAGTTATACAAACACATCTGATTCTAAGGTAAAATAGTCACTAAGGTTGTGTTGCACTCTCTCTCTCCCAATCCAAATAGTTACCAGTAATGTTGTTCTGCAGACCATCAAACCTGTGACTCTATGCTCTTGGGGGTTTCCAAAAGCAAAAGGCAACTTTTTAACAAATTGTCCATTATTGTATACTTTTGTCAAAACTCCTTCTTGACTTCTACTCTTCTGTGTCTGCTCAAAAGCCAACTACGTCCTCTGCCTTTTTATTTTCTCATCAAGGAACGAAGATGTAGGAATGTTTTTTATGGTGTGCTTTGGTGCCCACCGAACGTCTCTGAGTGTAACTGCACTGTTATGAGCTGGGTATCGAACCCCAAAACCTTCCAGTTGAGAGACGACTGACTCTTCTAACCAAGCCACAGCCGCCCCGTCAACTAAAAGATTCAGTACTATTACCAGATTTGTGCAAACTTGTCACAGCCCACTGTTTGCAAACTGTTTTCATGTACATACCCAAAACTCTCCAAGCTGGCTTTTTAAATATTTCTGTGTACCAGGAATGTATGTGCGCTCTGAACGTGTGTTCTCATCAGCAGATAATATTGTAGATAAAAAAGAGAGCTGCCCTCAAGCAGCTTTAAACCCTCTGCTGCATTTCTTTAGCAATACTCAAACAACATGCTCTGCCTTTACGCTTTAATGCTAATATTGTTGAATTATCATAGCCTAGCTTTTTTTTGTAGATAGTTTGCATTTCAACCAGAGTTGAAGCCAACAAATCCAAGGCTGCAGGAGTCTGTGATTCTTCTGCAGCATCAACCCAAGACAACCGATGGTGCTGGTTTTTCTGGAGGAATAACGGGTCTTACAGCTGAACCGAGCTCTGCCCAAGAGAAAGTGTTTTTTGCTATATGTACACGTCTGAACTCAGATAGAGTGAGATCAGGTTGAAAAAAAATTGAACCGTCCTTTTAAAGCTCTACACTGGCTGATGATATATCCTATTTTAATTTTTTTTTTTACTTTGCCCAACTGAATGCCATTTTCTTATTCCATCAAACCAACAGTCTTTGTTATATCTGTCTATTCTTTACAAGCAGGTCTGCTTTACATTGAGCAGCTAATGCTTGATCAGAATACGTTATGAGTTTGGCTTCCTGCAGCAGAAATCAGGAAATGTCTTCATTGGAAATGCAGGAACCATCTCTGTCTGCTGGACGCCCTTCAGACACTGTGGGTTGTATCTCTGGGGTGTTGTTTGTCCTCTAAGCGCTCTGCTCTGGAAGATGAGAAAAAAGATGACCACCCCCCCTACACACACACACACTCAGTGGGAGTCTGGGAAACAAATCACCAAGGGTTGCTATGATCTGTCAATTTGGCTTTAACTTTATCAGCGGTCAAGTGTATCTCCATGTGCCTGGGAAGAAGAGAGCCCTCATTGTGATTGGAGATATCACACAGAAAATGGTTTTGTCTGTGTGTCAGCCCACATGATCCGAGGTTGGTCGTCAGCACTGATTGGTTAGTGGAATGTGTAAAAGGCACGTCCTGCGCTTCACCATTCTTCCCTGAAATATCATTTATTTGTGTTTCGATTCTCTGTGCGGTGTGAGCGGTGAAAAAAAATTCTCATCTTGCAGCCAGACCACCCTGACAAAACACACAAGTTCGGCATCAGTCTCGAGTCAAACATTTTCTGACGCTTTGCTTATGAAAACCAACTGGGTACGGTTACAATTGGTGGTCTTCAATACACGTTGCACTTAGAGCTCCTAGAGACTCGACACCAATGACTCAAATCAACCATTTGCATGTAATTCTTGGTGCACGGCTCAGCCAAGCTGTTGTTTAAGATGCATCAGGCCATATCCACCATCTGTTATTTCTTCACTTAGAGAGTTTGGGGAAGCGGCCTTGGAGCTAGCAGAGCTGTGTGGGTTGACAAACACAAACAGCTTCGATAGCCTTCACTGAAAATGTACATCTGCAAAACCCGATCAGTATAGAAAAAAAATCTATACATATTATATATCTACTATGGTGATTGAGTATTTTTTTTTTTTTTAAAGCAACCTTCCATAAAACTATGATCACTAGGAAAAGACTCATCTCTTTCCTTTTCCCCTTTTTTCCAGGAGGGTCACTCAGGTCAGGTGTTGGTCTTGGGGGCCACAAACCGGCCCCATGCTCTGGATCCTGCTCTGCGTCGACCAGGACGCTTTGACAAGGAGCTGGAGGTGCGAACTGATAACCCTTACCTGCATCAATTGTTAGAATGACTGGCCTGTGAACAAGGTTTTAATATAATCGCTCCAATATGAAAACCAGCAGGCACCGTGTTAGCTCGCTGTGAATCAGGTGATAAAGGAAGTGCATCATCGTAAACACTGAGGGATATTTACAGATCTTTTCATTGATATGAATGAAGCTTATGAATGAAGGATTGTGTCTGCTAGCTCTCCAGCAGTTTTTTTGGTTTGGCGTTCCTCAGGGCTCCGTCTTGGGTCCTGCTTGGTTTTAATCTCTCTGTTATACAATGCTAAGTTGGTTTTCGTTTCATGTCGACAGGTGGGCGTTCCCGGTGCTAAAGAACGTGCAGACATTTTGCAGAAGCAGTTGAGTTTTGTACCATGCAGCGCCACATACGAGGAGCTGACGCAGCTGGCCGAGGCGGCTCATGGATACGTAGGAGCCGACCTCGCTGCTATTTGCAAAGAAGCAGGCAAGTACACGCTGTCCTACTGTCATGTGAAAGGTCAAAATATTTTTGAAAAAAGTAATGCCTCCTTCATAGGACTCTGATCAAAAACATGTAAGATGGTGAGGGTGGGTTCCATGTGTACCACATTTTTCTCTTCACTTCTTTCTATTCTGGACGACATGTTGAACAAATGAGCAAGACTCTTGAGATTTTAACATTAAACCGGACATATTATCCCCCTTCTCCACCTTTCCAAACAGTCCCCTTGTGGTCTAAATGAAACATCTGTGCTGTGCTTTGGTCAAAATATAACATGAGTCAAGCACCAGAGGAGGTTTGTGACCCTGTATAAACCAGCTCTCTCAGAACGCTCTGTTTTGGTGTGTGTGTCTCTTTAAATGCAATGACCCCCCCCCCTCTGAGTTTTCCCAGTAGACATCACTCCTTCGCTCCTTTGAGAATAAAAATGGCCGGACCTGCACAAAAGTTTTGCTCTAGGCTTGGGGTGGAGTCCATGGGTGGAGATACCAGGGGAGGGGAGGGGATTTTATTTACCAGAATTCCACTTGTGATGTGATGTTGAAATGTAAAAAAACTTGACTATTTTACTACTCACAACGGCCAACGACAAACTCACAGTATAAACGTCGTAATCGCTGACGCGCTTTGAGTGTGGGCTAGTGTACACAAGAGGTAGAGAGCGAGCAGGGAGACAGGGATGTTGCAAGCAAGGCTAGTGTTAGTACAAAAAATACAGAGAAACAATCACAAATCACACACCAGGGGGAACAAGTCATAAATCACAGGATGCTAAAGTCTTTATTTGTGATTCTTCACACTTAAATATAATAGAAAATCCTCTGAAAATAACTCTGTGAGTCATGACTGTCTACAATGGGTGTAACACCCGAGTCCCACTGTCTGTGATGCTTTCAGAGTTTTCAGAGTCCTATCTTCAGTTTGTTTACATCGCCCGGACAGCCGGCTGACTCCTCCCCTCGTGTATAAAAGTTGTTTAATTGAGGGACTAGAGAAAAGAAGAATAACATACTGTACTCACTGCTTAACTGTGTTTCTAGATCACGCTCATTTCAGGTAAATTTACATGCAGTGTGAAGATACCAGCATAATAAAGATCACTAGCATTAGCATGCTAACACAACAATGTAGCACAAGTTGTTTTGGTTTCATGCTGGAGCTCAAGGACGACATCTGCTGGATCAAAAAAATCGCATATTCTGCCTTTAACTGACTCACAAATAGAGTCATGAATCTTTAATCTAAAACTGTCACCGACATCGAGATCATCCACAGCTGCTCAGTGTGCTGCTCTTTTCCTTTTTGCACTTCCTGACACCAACATCATTTTGGGATAACAAAACAAAGTCTAACACGGCGTTCAGCCCAGAGAAGCGTGCCATCTTTCAGTGGTTTGCTCTGTGGTGCTCGGGCATCCAACCAAGAAACAAAGGGCATCTGGACAACACTTTGTTATGAGCTTTAGGTACATTGGACCCTTCCTCTGCTTGAAAAACCCACATTTTCTTGTGACTCATTCTTCCTACATTTGTGTTTCACAACCTCTTGGATGTTTTTCTTGGAGTGTCTGACATGCCTGCAGCTCTTTTTGAACACAGCAGAGTCAAGCATCCTTTTGAAATATGCCAAATAGGAAGTTGGGAGTTTAGTGAGGGAAACCACTTAAACCACCACTTGTTGTAAAATTCCTGTGCCCCCTCTACCCCCTTATGCCACAAACAGATCCACCTCACATCCTCAGGACGAGCATGCTCGCTCCTTTTTGCAGTATGTTAACATCTCAATGTGCAAGATTGTAGGGTGTGTGTGTGTGTGTTTGTGTGTGTGTTGTACGCGCACATGCACGTTTATTTTTGTGTGTGTGTGTGTGTGTGTGTGTGTGTGTGACCCCGTGTGCCTCCTGGGTGGTCCTAGAGCCCCCGGGTACGTGGCGTATTGCATTTCCAGCTGAGGAGGGAGCAAGGGGGCTGCTGTGCGGAAGCACTCTGCAGAAGAGCGTGATTTACTGTCCGCAGAGGGGGCCAGACGTGACTGGCAGTGTTTTCTGAAAAACCTCCTCACGTCCCGGAGGGAGACAACAACCTCCTCAACCCCGTTTCACTCCGCTCACTTCCCCCTCAGAATCTCCCCACCAAGACAAACACAGGCCGTCCACGCTACACCACAGTACAAGCAACGGATTCAGAAAGTATTCCAGACTTGATTCTGTCTTTCTTTCTTTCTGTTGGATTCTTCAGGATTTAAATATCTTACAAATAAAATGCAAACTACGATACATGCACATATATAAATGCTCAGAATTGCTCCCACCAGCCTCATGTTGCTTTAGAAGTCTTTTAATCAAACAATAATAAAATGTAGGCAGTAATCTAACTTTTACTGATTTTTCTCAACTGTCTGACCTATTTAGATAACTACCTTATCCTTATCGGGCCTTCATATTCATTCATATATGATTAACTTCTTTATTTATTAAACACTTATTTATTTCTATCTTATCGTTGCCAAGACGACGCAAACTAAACGATGACGCATGGGGGGATTTAGTGCGGTTCCTTTTCTATTCCACAGAAACCAGTCTAGAGTCTAGTCTAGATTAGTTTGATAAAAATATATATTTAAAAGCAAAAAAACAACAACATACAAACACGACAACAAGAGAAGATGCAACCGACTTCTTCTGTTGAAAGAGGAATGAAAGGAAACAGGAGTAAAGTCATTCAGGTTGAACTGAATCATAAGTGTTTTTGGAAAGTGGCTCAAAGATCAACTAGCTTAAAATGCTAACTAATGACTTAACCTGTTATTATTTCTTTTTTTTCCGGCTGAAATTCTTCTATTAGCTCAACTGGTTTTGGTACCGTTATCATAATATGCTATGCTAACATCCACTATTATCATATTATCAGCAGCTAGGTGGTGGGACTACCCCACCTACCCCAAACTGTCACTGCACCAATACTATACCACCAAACATTGCTCGGATGCTCATGCACACAAACAGCCGCAGACACACATTTCTATCCTCACACGCACACACACACACACACACACACACACACACACACACACACACGCACCCACAGACTGATATCTGTTTTTTCCTTCTCTGCTTTCATTGAAAAGGAACAAAAGCCAAAGAGGCACAAAAACACATCAAGTAGGAGCTGCAGTTGTTTCCTTCTTGCCGCTCAGGTAACAATGAGCTGCTGGGGGGAACGTACCCTCCGACGCACCACTTCCTGAAAAAATACAAATGTGGCGCTGCGACGGCTGCGACACTGCTAGGGTCACGCACAAGAACCCCGCCTCGCACAGCTGCAAGACAAGCATGCACACACAAGTTATGACCTCCATGTTTGTAACACACACACACACACACACACACACACACACACAGAGTGAGCACGCTGCAGTGAGGGCTTCACTTCCTGCCTTCAGTACAATACCAGCCTGCTTAGAGATCACAGAGGGAGACTATTTAAATCACTTCTTCATCGAGGTCAAGCCGCTTCTCTTTTGTGTGTGTGTGTGTTTTTTTTTTTTAATCTGTGTGTTTGTGTGTGAACAATAATGGATGGAAATCTTGATGTCATCGGGGGAGTTTTTTGTCCGTCCAGTCCAACTTTAACTGAGCCCAAAAAAACGACTTCTTGACGACAGATGTGTTGTATAACCAGCGGCTAATTACAGTTGATCACGGATTCAGCCAGTTTCCAATGTAACGCAATGCAAGAGCACACTTCCACCGGATCTATTACGCTGCTTCATCAAGGTAGTCTCAAAATCCCCTTTAAGCCTCCACAAATTATTAGGAACGTCTGTGCTTTCTATCATGTGCACTGACCGAGGGGGGGGGGCAGGTCCATCCTTCAAAGAGGGTCGGATTTTTCCAGCCCCGAGAGAAAAACAAGAATTTGGCTCAGAGTTAAGGAGGCCCCCCCCATCCCTTCATAGATATATGCATACACATGAAACAACATGTCATGTTTGATTTGCTGTTTAACAAAAAAAACAACGCCTGAAGCCGATCTTATTAAGAATTACATAATTTAATAGCAGAAATCATTGTTGATTGATTAAATGTTTACTTTGGTCTCCTCAAAGACTCAGATGGGTAATAATGAAAGAGCACTGCTGTGATATCTGATATACCTCACTTAAACTGGATCAAAAATCAGTCACAATAGGGCAGACATGTTCAATTCTGTGTCTACATTTGACCCTCAGAATATAAATTAGTTTACTAAATGTCTTTGATGGTCTGATATCAAAGGTTGTTTTTTTTTGCAATATAAAAAAAAACAATAAAGTTAAGTACAGGAGGACTTTTCTTCTGCAGGACAAGAACCTCTTAAACTCTAATGTTTTTGTCATAAAATATATAATTACATCGATGCTTCTCTGTTCATGGCTGCAGGAGGAGAGATCAGACTTTCTGTAGCAACCCTTAACGAGGCCCTCTAGTGGACAAATGTTGTAATACAAACAGGCTCAGCTGATGTTGGTATGGAGGGCAGATTAACAGACTTCCATTCAGAGTGGATTTAAAAAAAATAAAAGCCAATCATGGCCGCTGTAGCTTTGCTTTAGAAAGATTGTTGTTCATTTATTTGATATTTCTTATTTTACAAGTTAAACTTTCAAACTCCTGACTACATCTCTTTTCAGTAGTGGATGCTGTCTCTCTATCACTCTCTCCTCCTCTGAGCTCCTCGCTGTGTCTCTAAGGTGGACATGGCTTTCATCACGGTTTCTCGCCGGCTGACAGATTTATGTAGACGTTCAGACGATCTGCTGGACTGTGTTAGTCACAGCAGAAAAATGTACAGCTGCCTGCACGCCAGCAGACTCTATTCATAGACGTTTCTCTGACAGACTCTCTGTTGTATCTGATGTAGCTCCTCGTCATGTCACGCTGACCGTCGCTTATAGGAGACGTGTCAGCACGCACGCTGTCACTGGATAGGCTGAAGTAGACG